TGATCATTTTAATTTATAATCAAAATCACAATGTTTATACCTTTTATTTCCCTGCCAATAGACTCCAGGACCAGGACAGGGGACAAAGCGAAAAATTAAATGATCCTACTCAAACTAACAAAAACACACTGTATCATTCTTATTATGACTAGGGAAACAACATGCTCTTGTTAAATCAAGTGAAACTGTGGGAATGGGGAAAACAAAGAAATCTGTAACTGGTTAATGATCAATTAGCTGTAAACATCACTGCATTCGGACGCACCACCTTCCTGGGGGATGTGGATAGAAATCCAACATAATAACTTCATTCCACATGTACAAGAGCATGACCACAGCCAAATGGGTCCATGCACACATCACTAATAAGGAAGATTAATAACGAAATTAAATTGAGCCAGCCCATACTGGGAACATGCATCAAAAACACCTTTAGTAGTGACAATGCCCTTTAAATAAACCACTTAATTTTGATGTATTTTAACATGTCCTTTGAGAAACTCCAGGGAATTTCCCAAAGCCATACTAAGCCAAAAAGTCAGTCTGTTTAATTCTGGGAAGCCTTGTCAAGCAACCAAAGGTGAACAAACAAGAAATTCCATGGAGCCGTGACACACACACGGGACCCCCTTGTAGCCTGCAGGACGGCTCTCAACATCCACTACAAGGTAAACCCTGCCACTTTCCAAACCAAGGGTACAAATAATGAGTTACTGTAAGAACAGGTAAGTAACATTTCTAGATTTGCATTTTAACATTCATCCACTAGAAGGAGAATGGGAAAAGGCAAGGGAGACTCAGAGGGGAAGAAAACAGGGTAACAGATGACCACATACATCAGGACACAGAGCAGTAAACATAGAGAAGGGGGAAGTAATCCTATAAAAGAGAACAAATAACAAAAAACAAAAAAGCAGAAACAGAATGTGGTAGAAATTTGTTCTGCAGAGGGTAAAAAGAAGAGTTTTAGCCCAAGGCTATGGCAGCTACTTAGGTACTGGCACTGTAAAGTGAAATTTGGAAAATAAGAGAAAAATATAATAAGCAGAAGTGACATAGACTCAGACACTTTACATTTGAAATCTCTGTGGAAATGTCCAAATAGCAATT